GCCTTCGCTAAGGCTCTGACAACCAGGCATAAAGGATAAAGGATAAAGCATTTGCCGTTGATCAATCCCTTTTTGGGATGCGGCACGCATTCTACTTCCATTTGTACATTCGCAGTGGCATTTGAATGCGATGTGGCCTGTACAATGACTTGCGGGGGCCAGCCGATGTTCAAGTCAGTGTTTTTTATCCTCCCAGACAAGTCTGGTACCAATTAAGCGACCCCGGAGGGATGGAAGGCTTGGTTGGCCCGGGCGACTCACGACCCAGGATTTGATCCCGGACCGCTCGCGTGGAAGCGCGCCACTTGTCACTACACCACTTCCGCCTCGTAGAATCAATTCATTGTACAAAAAATCGTTCTGCTCAGCCGTCGTGATCATCGCCTCCAAGACAACATTGCAGAGCAAGAAAACCGTCGAGCCCTCATTTCAAAGTTACGGTCTGAGATTTCTGGTCGAGATAAGTAGGCCTTTCCCGGAAAATGGCACTGGTACGCATGCAGGGACAATGTGCATAACTCTAGGGATGATTTGATAAAGGTCGAGGCGCCAAGGCACATGAATGCAACACTGGCTCAACCCAACCCCCTTGAACACACTTACAATTCAATATAGCCTTCTGAACAACTACGTGGGAAAGTACAACGGTAAGCTGTTTTTCAGAAGGTCGCAGGAAGATACAATTGAATTACAATAAAGACATAAAGTAAGAATCGGTGAGGGAGTTGCTTAGAAAAAAACGTCTTCCTTCACGGCAGCGTTGCCATTCAACAACTCGATGACGAAATCATTCAGCTATACCAGGCTGACTATTAAAGCCATGAGTCAGGATGAGGCGCATAGAGAGCCTTTCCACCACTAATACGGCCTAGACTGCACTCAGAAGGGTGACGCCACGCTCCTGAACCGAGAAGGTGCGGCGACAAGGCTCCAGGTCTACTATTTACAGCGATAGCTACACTGCATCAGCTATGCCCACCCACAGCCGCAAGGAGTGCGCTGGCATAGAGCGTGAAATCATTTAGTTGATTGCCGTATCAGTCCGAAGACCCGTTCGGACATGCATTTATGCTAAATCAGCCTCCTTTCCCTGTGTAGGGGAGGGAGCTTTTATTTTCGGTGTTGCCCACTGCTTCTTTCACTTTTTTCTTTACGGGGGTTCCATTGCGCATCTCGCATTCATCTCAAATCAAAAAAATATCCAAACTATCCCGACTCGTGCCTTAAAGCTGCTGTCGCGGTGCTTTCATCACCATTGACCCATGACTTACGAGTCACAGAAGCGATAAAGACCAGCTTTGCCTTATCGATTAAAATCGACCGAACAATGAGGCCTCCATCATTAGAGGTGATGAAAGCTCCACTGACCGAAACAGCTAAGGCGAGCAGATAAGGGCTAGGCTGGATACGATTACATAACGCAACACGATTGACTAGCCTCATTTATTGAAGTACGAGAGAATTGGGAGCAAGGGACGGGAGGGAACAGTGTTAGACGACTGTTTGTCAACTGTTTGTTATCCGTTGACCTCTGCTTGAATGAATCGCTAACGGGAAAATCTTGTCTACATCCTCACCAGAAATCGATACCTTGGCCCCTTGCTTTATGTGGGAAAGAGAAAAAAACCAAAAACGTGTTGGTTTTGATATTAATCCAAACAATCGAAGAAGCCATAAGAAATTTGAATTCCTGCCGTAAGTTTGTCACAACTTTTGCCGTTGGAGAGCCAATAAGTAATAAAGCGTAAAGGTGAACGAGGCTCTCGTTAAAACGTTGACGACAGGCTGACGCGCATGCGCGTCAGGATCTTGGTACCTATTTTTCCCACGCATGTCCAACTTCTTCCGAAATTTTTTATCACTATTATATAGACAATACATCATCATGCCTGTAAACGGTGTGGTCCATGAAGCGGTCGAATATGCTTTAGTTAAGCGAAGGTTTTCTGACCTGTTTTCTGACCTTTTCCGTTTATTTTGATCTCTGACTACTACGAGAGAAAAAAAGCAACGAATACAACCACTCCACAAACGATCATGGCAAATTCTTCGACTCCCTGCTTCATCTTTTCTTGGACTAGCTTTATTTGTTCTCAGAGGAACGCATCTAGAGGTTCCATGGCAGAAGAATTATCAGTGATGACGATAACGGTCATATTTTTGATCATTTTGTGCACAAGAAAAATAAAGCTTGAAAGAAGAAAGTGTCAAAATTCGGACGCAGTTATGGCAACACGATATTTGAATACCTAACATTTATGAGGAATTTCTGAAACAGCTAACAATAAAAACGCGTACTTGAAGGTTTCACTTTGAATGAGGCTGATGACAAGCCCGGTTTCACCAACTTTTTGCTACATTTCTTTGAGAGCGCTTTCGTTGAGCAGATATTCACCTAAATATATATCATAGGTCATAGGTTCGAGGTTCGCATTATGTTCATCATGACGTACAAGTAGGGAACCAGATAAAAAGTATAAGTGTCTGCTTTCGTCTGAAGGACCAAAGCCAAGAATTTTGAGGGTGTGTTGAATTGCGGGAGGACATCTGGTGACGCAACTGTTCGCCCTGCCATCCAAAGAAGAAAAATGTTGGAAACTGTTGTATGTACTGGCTCTCGGACATCTAACAAAAAACATGTCAAATCTTTCACTTTCTGAGCACGATCTGACCTATTTGCTGCATGATCCACACTTTTTTCTCTACACGTTCAGGAAAAGTAGCGCTACCCCAAGATGCGGGGAATCCCTTAAAGCTAAGACTAAGAGGGAGGGGGGAATGGAGACTAGGCAGGAACTCCGTAGAAAATAAAAATTACGCACGCGTGTGGCGTCGCTCCACTCTCCCTCCCCCTCAACCTTTTGGCGACATTGGCACCCACCGGTGGGTGCCACCATGACCGTCGCGTGGGACAATGGCACCCAATTGTTGGTGCCACCCTAGAATATTCTTCTTTACCCATTTAAAATATTTCCAACATTCAGTAATCATAAGCAAGCTTCGTCACGCCGATGTTGATCATATGTTGCAGAAATATTTCTTACTAGCTAATCTATATGAAATTTCAGGATATGACTCTTCGCTCGGCGATGTATTAACTAGTGTTTTACACTATTAAGCTGAAGGTGACTTACGTCATTCCACAGTCTTTAGACACAAGGAGGAGTTCTAACTATATCAAAAATTCTACTGTACATTTGAACTTTTAGAGTTTTCAAACACCATCCCTTTGAAATGCGAGATTACTTTCCAAACTTCAACTTCTAATTTCCACAATACATAGTATGAAAGCCCAAAACTGCAGTTATATTTTGTATATTGCCAATTCGAAAATTGATAGAAAAACTGTATTGAGCGACCATTTTGCACAATGGTGAGTGAGAGTCGAGCGCGCCAAAAGAGGCGTGGTCCCACGAGCCCGCTATGTGCAAATCCGCATGTCGTCGAAAGGATAAACATGGGCAGGGAATGGGAGACTACAGTTGCTGTTGTTCTGTCCATAGCCATCTGATATGCCAGTCTAGGGATTTATCGTGGCGGCTGTCGAACTCGATGGAATTCGCATGTAGGAGCTGTTACTGTTCACTTCGCTGGAATCAGAGAGGACATTAAAACTACACTTAGGGCCATGAAACCAATAAATACAAAGCAATACGACTATGTACCGATCTTATACAAAACCAAATACAGCGGTAGCATGGCATGGTGCCGTTCTCTCAGACGCGATGAATTGGCCAGCGTGGAGGAACAGTGTGAGCTTGGAGGAATTGGGCAGAGAAGTGAGAGAGTGATTGAGTGAAATTCTCCTCTGACCACCTGCACACTCAGCATCACAAATAATACAAAAATCTGCTGGCTTTGACTGGTTATCTCAGGGGGCACTCTAGGGCATTCTCTCTACTATAGCTGAATGCGTGACACACTTCGCAGAAGATTATCGCACCTCTCTTTTGGAAGACTTAATATTAAAGTAACAACCTCGCATTCTTTGTCATCGTTCGTTTGCCGTGGTGCTGTGAAAGAGATTGTGGTAGAGGTCGGAGAATGAAATGCTAACTGCACATCCGTTGGTGGGCCTATTCGCTCTGAAGCTGAAATAATGTTGTTGACGAGAAATAGTGGGTCCTTTAAGAAATTGCTTTTTTTCGTGAGAAACTTTTTCCTCGAAACCACAAAATTTTTTCATTGTTTCGGTGAGTATTGATCAGCTCTAAGGAAACCTATGTTCCATTTTGCACTCCTTATGATTTAGTATGAGTTTTAGGATTACGAAATGGGAGCTCTTCAAAAATTAGTCAGACCAGCCGGCTATGTCAAACCCTATCTTTCAATCAGCTCAATCATGTGCCTTCTCATTGATCATCGATTAGCTCATACAGAGCATCGCGGAATCCACGCGATTTTCACTCTTCGATTTTTTGATTGGGTGGCCAACCGACGACCACCCAAGGTGATCGTGATCCAAAAGACATACAAAAAAACCGAGACAAGGCAGAGAACCCAGTTCTTTCTAGTTGCTCTTCCTTGTTAATAATTCTTGCGATTCTGCGACACTGCATATACCGCGAATATCGTGCGCGATACTGCGACCATGCAGTCACGGTATCAGTGTTACTGTCATTCATCGACCTCATTATTCTTGTCATCATGGTATAGCCTCATTATTGCTATCATCATTACTATTGTATCTAGCATGCTTGTTGCCACCTATTGTAGCTATTTTCCTCTCATTGTGATAAAAATACTACTTTGACATCATCTATTGATACACTGATCAATACTTGTGTCTTGATTCTTTGTTGTTGTTCAAGTCATTGTTCCGTTACATATTCTGTTTCTTACTTGTTTATTACTTAGTAAACGTTTAACTATCCAAGTTCGAGGACGTAACCTACAAGCCCGCGTGGCACTACACGCACAAAGATTCGATCACCCCAACTACTTCACAGGGTGTCAGCAACGTCCCCTTTCATCCCTGTGGAGCGCAAGTCCAAGCCCAGGCGTGTCCTCCTTAAAGGCAGCAATTACGATAGAGAGGAAGTGCATTGGGGAAGCATATACACCACAGGGATCAGGTACTAGGCTGCCAGGGAAGCGAGTTGTAACGCCTTCACAACGAGATTTTCTTTGATTGCTGAGCAGGACTCCGAAAGCACTCCGCCCCCAAACGATCCGTCTGCTCGTTTACTTGGAGATTTGGACGATATACGTAACCAGCAGCGGCACAACTGAAGCATCTCGATTGAAGCGTGGTTCGGCATGGTACTACCAAACCCGTCACGTTCATTCGTTCGAACTCTTCCATACGTCCGCATTCTGAACTGTTACCTGTTTTTGAGTGAAAACCAACGGCAAAATAGTGGTCCCATTTTGGGTTTTCTCGACGGATTTCTCCGCCTTTTTCACCAGTGGTGAACCATTTAGCACCAACACGACTCCACAAACCCTTCTCGAATCTATCATTATCGCTGCCTTTGAGGAACAAGCAGCATTCCTTACGTTCAGCACTTATCAAGAAGCCTGACCATCGCGCCGATGGTGATCCCGGTGTTCCTTCACAAGAATACTGTGTGACTTGCCATCTCGCGAATGGAGCCCTCATTTGACCGACCGGCTCTACAACAGCTTTGGATTTGCAGAAACTAAATTCATTCTCTCAACAAAGTCCGGCCGTACATCTAAGGTGAGTCAGCTGGTGCTTGTGGTTTATGATGCCCCCATGGATTCTTCTGGTCTATGGGGACTATTTCGAAGTCGGAAATGATGTCTGCGTTGGGTCGCAGTGATCTTTGACTTTTCCAGGCTCTGACGAAGGCGACCAAGCCGAAACGTTAGCCGAATAAAGATCTGTAACATCTTGGCTTGTGGCTTCAAAACTACTCCAAGAATAAATTTCTTTATTATGAAAATAAAACTAGCATGACGATAAGTTGGTCAGTTGTCCGTGCTCGACGCCGAAACTTACGTAACCAGCAAAAACGTAGAATCCGAAGGGAGCAAAATTTATGTGCGGTACTGATCTTCATGACCTTTTCAGGTTCTTCGCATGCTGGGCGAATATGGCACGCGTGAATGATAACGATATATACTCGGTTGGGGGGTGTCACGGAAGTGACGTGACTTGATAGAAACATGAGGATAGCTCTCCAACATTACTTCGCTTGCTATCGGCAAAAGCATGCTCAACACGGGTGGCCAAAAAAAGAGACACCTTGCCCACGGCGCACATCATCGAGCTTTCCCTCGCACAGGATGCCGATGTTAACGAAATATTTATAGTGAAATATTGCTTAGGTGTTCCCCCGTGAACAGAAGCAGGCACTGCCCCCACCGCCTTCAGAATATAACGTCATCTGGCCACCGTCGAGCTGAACGAGGCTTACGCTAATCGCTCAGGCCTGAAGCTGCTTCGTAATTTCTTCAACGGATTAACTGTCGAATAGCTTCCCAGAGACATTAGCTGTGACTGTGCAAAACCGCTTTTGATCAGCGTTTCGAGAACGTCGTAATGGTCTATGGTACATCGACGACCTCGTTGAGCTCATACCGTGAACCATGTTTCCGTGGGAAAATCTTCTGATGTCGTCGGTGTAGAAGGCTATCATGTAACAATTAGATAGATTAGAATGTGCTCTTTAATACTTTAATAATATATGAGTTATAATGTTATGCAAGATTATAAACTTTTTCGGCATAACTATTAAATACCGAGTGGGGGTATCCGATTTGATTCTAGCAAAGTGTGATTAATGCTGTCTGGAATGTGGGTTGAAGTGTTTCTTTTTTTGGCCACCCCTATATATGGCTGATATCCAGAAATACCTTGAAATCGCTACGCTTCGTTATCAAAGTTCTGCACTCTAAAAGCACCTCAGCTATTTCTGGCATGTATTCCTCCAAAACTGGGTCTTCCCTCGTAAACACTCCAGCACCATAATTGCTTCTATAACCAATTCTGAGACCAGTAACACTTCAACTCCATACAGTTCCATGCGTCTAGGAGAGGAGGCGAAGTGGAGAAGAAGGGCCGAATATGTTCAGTAAGATGGCAAACCCTCAATTTTCTTTATTCACATTTCTAATTTCTACCATCGAGCTCCAACCCCAGTCTTGAAGTCCTATATACTACCTTTCTTATCAACATCACCAACAAACCAAAACGCGCTTCTTACACCTCTCTGAAATTGCCTAGTACGGCCCCTTAGAGGATGGTTGCCCTGCCTCGATTTCGCAAAACTGAAATCAAGCGTAAAACGTAAGGATTGTGGAATATAAATATTCAGTTCCAAGACCAGATAAATACCTAACGCTAGTGTGAGATTAATACGTTTCAGAAGAAGAGTTACTCTCTGAAAATGACGTCACTCGTAGTAAAAGCTCATAGATTCATACCGGTTTGGACAATATTCACTGAACTTGGAATACCAAGATAATATCTAATGAATGGAATGACCTCAGCCACATAATTCCCTGCAGCCGGAAGTGAGAAAGTCTAAAAGACTCAAAAAGCTGACCATGATGAACTCAACATGGAAGAGCAATGGATTCTTGCTGGAAAAAAGACTTACAACACGAGGTTCCTGGCCATATTTTATGGCTCTGGACAAAACAGCTTTAGCTGATTTATTTCCGAATTCAGAATGATTGTAGATGCTGAACAGATGTGATAGTTGTCAAATTACTTCGAACTAAAATCCAGCATGATATCCAATTTTATATATAAATAGCATTGTTGTGAAAAGACTAGATGAGGCCGCGTTAGACTCGTTCACTTACGAAACCATTTGCACTCACGTTAAGCCCAGGATGAGCCACACGTCGAGGAAATCGGCCGCACCAGTACGACGTTATCCATTGGGCTTTCGATACTTGACGGCGCAGCGCTTTCGCATTGGGTCTTTCGTCACGTAGGACCGGTGCGATAGAAGTTATAATGAAAAATAAAAGTTGACCCGCGAGTTCGACAAAGGCAAACTCACGGTAAATTATTCACTTTAGCATCATCGTCGATCACCTGTACCTACTGGTCAACATAGTGAATGCGTACCCCATGACTTGGGCGAACACGATCGTCGTTAAAGGCCGAGGGAGGACAAAGAACGTCTCCTGTACTGCACATGTAGGTGATAAAGTCTATCGTCACAGAAATATGTGTCTGTAGGTTAGCATCATGAATATCGACGTGAGTTCACCTTCTTAAGCCGCGCCAGGAGGCAGATGTTTCCTCTCAGAAGGTTATAATTTGTTCAGGTAAAACTGCTGAAGCATTCTCACTGCGAACTACTACAAGGCAACATTGTTGTTATGGAGCTGTGCCGTTAGCAACTGGGGTGAATTGTTCGCAAAACTAGGAGAAACGCTTGAATGGCGACACTGTTCAGTTACTGCATGACACTCGTGCGCACACTACAAGAGTGGATGAGCAGAACTAGAATTCTGATATAAAGTGCTGCCTCATCCATTTTACAGTTCGAGTATTGATCGAGCAGGCTACCGCCCTTTCCTTTCGCTACCAAAGGCTTCGTAAGGAAAACCGTTCGACGATAAAGATGACATGGATCGCCGACTGACCAAGTCATTCGAGTCAGTTTTTGATTCTTTCAGCTGAGAGTGATATAAGCCTGCCCAAATGACGAGGAGTGATGGTGATAATCGTGTTCTTCAGCGTGTTATCATTTTTTTAACAAAAAGTTCAATAATTTGATAAGTTCTAAATTGTTCTGTCCCGAAGTCTCACGTTGATCTGAATGTGTAATAAACAATGTGAAACTTCAAATATTTATTGGAAAGACTTTAAAACTTTCTACAAAAGGAATTGCAAAAGTGTGAGCCCAAAAGTTTTTGCACAAGCATAGGTCTTTTTCGGCAAGCTCTTGGCGATTAGCGCCTTTTTCAGACTGAAATAAAAAATAAGTAGCAGCTCTTGAGTCTCTCGGTACATTAAAATATACTAACTGACTCACCTGCTGTTCACTGACAAAGTAGAACACTTACCACCCTGTTGGTTTGTAAAGCAGGAGTTATTCCCACCCTGGTCCTACCTTCAAATAGCGTGGACGTGCTACGACTGCTGTTTGCAAAATATCGCATTCATTCCACTGTGATCATAACTGCAGTGATGCGATGAGTTGAAGAGAGTCACGTAACTCGTCTCTGCTATTTATTTCCGGGGCTAGTCTTTTTATAGTGCCTCTAGTACTTTGCGTTCCACTGGGTTTTCAATGGAACGATGTAGGACCTTGAACTTGAGGGTGGTGTGTCTCCGTGGGCATGTTACTGGGTTTTATGTCTGGAAATGCTGTTACCTGGATATGACGCCGGGTTTTGCAGAGCCCTCCGATGTCCATCAAGTCGCTTGTAGGAGGTCTTCTTGTTTCTCCAGCATAGGAAGACAAAATACATATACCAACTGATTGTGAGAGGTACAGTATATGCAACAGAATGTCAAGGACGTGGGCATAATTATGTTTTATAAACAAGAAGACCTCTCTACAAGCGACTCGATGAACATTGGAGGGCTCTACAAAACCCGGCTTCATATCCAGGTGACAGCTCCTCTAAACATAAAAACTAAAAACATGCGCACGGGGACCCACCCACCCTCACTTCAAGGTCCTACATCGTTCCATCGAAAACACAGTTGAACGCAAAATACTAGAGGCACTGGAAATAAAGAGACTAGCCCCGGAAATAAATAGCGGAAATGAGTCACGTGACTCTCTTCAACTCATCGCATGATGCAGTTATTATCATTGCGGAATGAACGCGATATTTTGCAAATAGTAGTCGTAGCACGTCCACTCTATTCAAGGGTAAGACCAGGGTGGGAATAATTGAGCTTCACAAACCAACAGTAAGGTAAGCATTTCACTTCAGTGAGCAGCAGGTGTGTCGCTTAGTATACTTCAATATATTAGGTTGAAAAGAAAGTCCTGCGACACTTTTCCGAATTTTTGATTTTGAATTTATCTCTTCTGTCTATAACTCCTAACCGGTCTTATATCTACTATGAGTATCCGTCACTTTTCTCCAACGCTTCTCGATGCTCCTTCGTCAAAACCCAGTGGAGTGTGGGTCAAGGCGAGGCGACCTCACTTTCGAGTTGAAGTTGATTGTCCAATTATTTCGTCATCAAGATGATGTTAAGGTCCAGGGTAGGTGGCAGTCATTTATAGCTCGACCAGGAGAATACGAGTAGAGGTGAGAAATCTTGCCGCAGCTCCAGAATTTCTTACCGGGCTCATTACGGATCATGGTGATTCGCAATGCATGAAAGAAATGAATATTGTCGCGGTACGAGGGCTCCTGACGAGCTGCTTCGGCCAGCTTCTGGAGTTCCGCAGCCTAGACCTCTAGCTACACAATGGTGCCCATAAAGAAGAATCTGCAGTTAGAGCTCTACCGGCAATGGAATGCATGGAACGCTGCTGGTTTCTTATAAAAATATCAAAAGATCGAAAGCGCTGGTAAAGCTGAAATACGCTGTAGCGCCAAACAGCGTGCCTATAGAAGCTATTGCAGATAGTTGCAGTCGTTGACACGAATCCATAGTTTTGTAGACATTTGTACTAAACAGTAATCTGGAGTACGGTTTTGCTAGTGGTCGAGGTTTTTGAATTTTCTTGGATAAGTACTGACTGCAGCACTCTATCCACCGCGTGGATTGAAGCCATGAGAATACTATACGTTTACTAATCATAAATGTTACTTATGAATTTTTCAGAAAAAAAAGAAAATTTTAGAAAGGTTGTCGCAAACCTTTCTTTCCAACCTAACAGACTTCAAAAGCTTCTACTTATTCATTTCATCTCAGGCTTGACAAAGGCGCTAAGCACCGAAAGCTCGCCAAAAAGACCTGGGCTCCTGCAGAAACTTTTGCACTCACACTTTTGCAATTCCTTCTGTAGAAAGTTTTAGAGTCTTCTGTAATAAATATTTGGAGTCTCACATTGTTTATTACAATTTGATAAGTGTTGAAAACCGAGAGAACATCTCCAACAGCATACTTGATTTCAAAATCCTGCATTAGAGAACTCACTTCACTTTGAAGTTGGGCTCTTCGCCCAGTAAAACGCCGGATACATTCCAGGAGAGAGAGACTTGCAAATCGCTAACGATAGCTTTCAGATCCGTCACTTTAAGAGGGGGAATCTTTTCGAATCTTGCGAGCGCTGGAAAAAAGAACTGATCCACTTTTCAGAGGAATTTCAATAAATCAAACTTGGTAAAGCTCACGAATCTAATTTTGAGCAGATGCAAGTCAAAGAAAAAATGATTAAATAAAAATGAAAAATAGAAGTAATTTTTCGAATCTGTCTTCACTCGGGTCTCGGTGTAATCTTTTCAACTGGGGCAAACAAACTCCAAATAAAACTTCAAAGAAGGCTCTGAAAAAAGCCTCGGATTAAGCTCTGAGAGCCTGTGCTCGACACCACAACAATGACCTAAAGCACACACGAATTGTAGCTCGTGTGGTGAGCAGCCACTTCTATGCTCATCTACTGAATAAAAAAGTAAAGTAAAAAAGTAAGCCGTGCGTTTCTCCCAAAGGATTCCATGTTATCGAAGAAAGAAAGACTTACCTAGTAAAAACGAAGGGGCTTCTCTATGGGTGCTGAACGAAACGCAGTCCGCAGCAGGGATATGCCCCCGAAGGCACAGCATGGCCTTCCTCGCGGCGCTACCGGCGACTGACTAACCACTCAACGTAGGTCTCTGGCCTTTTGAAAGAGAGAGCGTACGCACCATTGCGGAAATCAGTGGGTCACGAAAGGTCCTATTCAGGATTCTGGGCCTTTTCATAGTTTTTCTTAGTCCCGGCACCACTGTCCACCGTTACCTTAATTATAATGAGCTGTCTCCTTATCGCAAACTATGCCTTTACCTGCCACTTCGTGCCATATGTACTTTCACACCATATTTATGGCGCACGCTGTATTGTAACGCTCAAAAGGCTGTGGTGGAATTCTGTTTCGACTGTAACATTTTTCGAATCAGGTAAAATCTCATTGTGATTGGAAGGCAAGCATTGTTGATTTATTGGACATAATAGCTTAGGTATGAGAGAAAGAATTAGGTTACTTACGTGCAGTGATATTCATGGCATGTTGATCATCTCCATAGGCTTGAATAACAAATTCTACCTCCAAAGCACTATCCTCCCTGTGCTCATACCGGAAAGACGTGGTCTGGAAATGAGTATCAGTACCCAAAGGTTTCGATCAAAACTTGTAATACACTGATGCGGAACTAATAGCCTGTTAAGCCATTCTTCGCTCAATGCAAATACAACAACCTAGACTAGCGACCCATCACAGATGACCACCGAATAATGAAAGGCACAGCTAAAACACAAATGTGAAAGTTCCGCGATCGAATGTTGCAATATTGTGATACTAATATCGTCTTTCCTCTCGTCTACACCAAAGTTATCCAATATTTAATTTTCGAATTCGTCTCACTTTTATTGCACAACCTAGAGCCACAGATGCTTAAGAGCAGCCAACAATTATAGCAGCAAAAAATTCAAAAGTTCTCTAAGTTCGATTTCCGGAAATGCGCTGCTGATCTCATGAAATTGACCTAATCCCCACCAGGGTAAGAGTAGTGTCGAGGACGCGGTCGCAGAAGTACGACCCCCCTTGAAATCGAGATCTTGACACGACCCTCCTAAAACAGAGCATACTCAAAACTACAACAGCCGAGTATATCGATCAACGGTCGATTCAACGCCAGCTGCGGCGCGATTAGTCCCTGGGTCAGATTTGCTGAAATCCAAAAAAAAACCGTCGAAATCTACACCCTCGATGAAAGGTTTCCATTCCTCCATTTCCCAACCTTTTGAACAGCACGCGGTAGCGTTAGATAGAGCTAGATTTGTTACTATTGAACAGCATTGGAATCGCTATGAAAGCCTTCCATTCGAAGAGATAGTCTTTCAGAAAGTGCGTCGAGGGAGCGTCGAGGATGCCCTGAATTTTTCACGCGACTTCTTGCCAACTTAAAAAGGGAAATATCTCTTACAATTTCGGCAACGATCTTGGAAAGACTGGTTCTGATGGATTGCGCTCCCTTACTCTTCCTTGGCGGGATCGCATTTCTTTTGGCTTGTACTTGCTTTCAACCATACACTGTGTGCGAAAACTTAAGGACCAGAATAGACTTAATGTCCTAACTTAATTAATGATTAGATTGGAATTGGATGAAACTGTTCGGCATAGATGCTAGGAGCCCTAACAGTCATGGGCATCGAAGTGGGCCTCATATGTCTTGGCATACCGGACTCAATCTGGCCTACAATGGGGTGGCACACCCAGAAGCGATGGGCTATCGTGAGGCAGACAAAGAGGGGTGAACTATACAGGGAGAAGTGACTGTGGAAATGTAGTGGTGTTCTTGATTACATCACAAGTCTCAGATGACAACGACTAGCGTGAACTTTAGCGAGAAGAATCATTGGAAGAACTGAGAAAAAAGGACACGTTGTGTCCAAGGAAGTTTTGTGTCAACCATCAAGCGATTGTTTTTTGTTGCCATGAGAGAAGCAATGTGGACCGCAGCTCACTGTTGTCCTCAAGAAGAGGAGGTTGTGGGTCACGATACAACCGCTAGTCAGCAGGTGATTGCTTAAGGTTTGCTACAGCAAAAATGTGAGCCCACGCGTCAGTCACAATGCTGCTAAGTTGCAAAAAACATTTATGCAGGATTTGTAAGGCATGTAATCCAAGTCGGTTGAGCATGGCGCAGTGACCGCCCTAGGAGTTGATTTCTCTCATCCGATCAACAATTACCTTGTATTCTATTAGAAATCCACGCCTCGGCTGGGGCATTTGGCTACGAAGCGCGAACAATGGAGATGGTACCACGTCGAATTGAAAAATCGGTTTATTCTTCCCGGTCACGAGCAAACTGAATGTGAGTAGTGATTCTGGACTCACGGCTGCATAGGGAAAATAGGACGTGTAATCTCGCCAAGACCGACGTTTAACATGAATGTGTTTGGTAGTGCGTGCGACATTGATGTGGGGGAGGCATAAAGTTGTCGGGGCGTAAACTGATCCGCCACTCCATGATCGCGCCTAACACTTTCCTATCAAACTGTGATTGTGATGTTGTACCTTTCGTCCATGTGCTATCTGTTCCAAAGGGTTCGGCTTGCCCTCAGCGTCAATCGTAATGAGGTGCAGTGTGTGAGAGTATCGGCAGTCCCATGGGTGGAAAACTCTTGAAAAGTGAGGATTTCGAATAATATTGGTGAAAGCCATTTATTTCCTCACGTCTAACTCCAATGGAGCACGTGTGGCGTTGGGTTCAGAAGAAGCTATTGTAGCACATGACCATGTGCCAACAATAGTCCCCTGGCCAGTTGTCAATCGCGGTCTCTCAAGGCATCGGTCACTTATCTCCTCAAGGACTCTTTTAACTATCTTACGGCCCTGTATGGAACAACGTGCAGAGCATACCTTGGCAGTCCGTAGTGTTCATACACCCATCAAGAACTAGCCTCCTCTCTTTTGAATGTCTTACGCATTGAGTTGGAGAAAGCCTCACTGTCGACTGCGCTTCAGACAAGGGTATTTGCAGAAAAATGTCTTTCAATCGCCGCCTTTGCGCTTTTCTGTTATAACTCTCTGCACTGTACCGGCACATTTACTTCTATATATGTGCCAAATTTTGGCCGCACCTAGGTATACTAGGAAAGTGAGATTATCATGTGGAAAGTTACTCTCGGTCCTTAAGTTTGGCACCAGTGTAATTCCTTCCCTCATAACGGTTAGAGGAATGGAAGCGAATGAACTTACAAGAATATTTTATCCACGTTGAGGACGGCTGTGTGGTACTATGTCATACCAACTTTCACATAATAGCAGACTTACTTTTTCCCGTAATTTTTTGCGTTTGTTCTGAACAATCGCTCGCATGCACATTAACTAGAATGTTGAAATGCAGTTTTTCCATTACTGATGTTGAGAACGCTGGAGTTTAAGGTCATTGGCTGACCAGAATACAGAAATCGTTGGAGGGCAGTGGCCGCGGCCCATAACTGGCGGTCATATCACCGTGTTGATAGATGAATATTTTTTTTCGCATATCCTTCGCTTCTGCTGCGCTACATCCCAACCTTTCTACTCCTATGCTCACCAAAACGGTACCTACTGATGATAATTGAGCGTTACGACCCCTCCATGACCACAGCCTGAACAAGTACGACGCTCCCTGTCGAGGATTTCCTCGACCGATTATTCACTCTGATCCGTCGCTACAAACTCGTTATGTACGAACACCGAGCGATCTTGCGCAGGAAGGAGCCTATGCCAATCTGTTTAGAAGCTCCTCGCGAATTCTTCGTGGGAGCAACTGCAGACGATCATCAACCAAGCCACGCGTTCAAGAGTCTTTTTCAATCACATCACGTTGCCGCTCACACAAGAGAGACTCCGTCAATGGATTGATCCCACGACTTCTTTCTCGCGAACCTGGACCACTAACGTTGCTCTGTTTTGCTTAATAGTAGATTGTAAGAAAGGCTTCTGCCGTTTTGGACCCTAAAGTTTGAAGGTGCTTGCGCCAATCCAAATCCAACACTCCGTTCGTAGTTCAAGTGACTAAAATCTACTCTTCCTTGTCAACAATGAATGAGTTTGATCAATCCGTTTGCTTAAAGTTCCGAAGTTCTAAGGGCGGCGCCTTTCAGCGCCTCTTATCAGTCGTTATCTCTTTGCGACCCCCACCAAATATGTCCAAATCATAACGTCACACACATAGACACACACAAACAGACAGACATACCATTTTATATATGGAAGGGATAGTAGGGATGCACATTTTGCAGTATGCTGGAACTTAGTCAGAAAAAATGCCTTGAAACTTAACTACCGAACCACAAGCAAATTTGAAAAGAGTCGAGATCAGCGTCCAACGGTATATGTCACCTTGGCACTTTGGCCCGCCCGACCCAATTCCTCCTGGTCAGCTTGGAAAGTAGTAAATATATTATATTTACATGAACAAGAAGACACACATCTGCATCCCGCAAATTTCGCATAAGTCTGCAGACCAGTTGGAAGTTGGAACACTCATTTATTCGCAACACATTAGAAAAATAAACTGAAACCTACTTCAGGAGCAAGTACTTCGAAACGGGTAACCTCGGTCTCAGATTCCGGATCAAATTCAGTGATATATATCCTTATGCTGAAAAATGCACCTCTTTATATGAGATGTACCATATGTTCAATACACAAATCAAAAATTTGATATGTCTGCCAATTTGTCTCTTCCCCACCACGGCAAAGGGTAGGTTTTATCGCCTGTTACTTATACTAGAGAGGCTTACTACTTGAAGGCAACCCAATAGAATGAGGGTAGCGGTGGACAATGGTGTAGAGCTGAAGAAATAATCATGAGAAACGGCTAAGGATCTAAGAAATAGGACCCCTTCTTAGCCCGCTGATTTCTGCATTGATGTGAATTCTCGCTCTCCTCAACGCTAACGCTCACTCTGCTAAACCGCTACAAAACTGTTGCGCTTGGGTACCCTGTCGGCTGTACCGCGCCCGGGAAGGGCCATGCTAGATTTGCCTTTCCTTTGCTGCGAGTTGCGTTTTCGCCTGCACCCTTAGGGGGGCCACCCATCTCTCCACTAAGGATCTTTAACCCCTTCCCTCAATTTCGAATCTGACCTTGATGTAGCACTTTCTTCAAGATTCTTTTCTTATATCCAGTTTCGGACTGCTCACGCATTCGTGCACTATCATCGCCTGCAGGGTTAGAACACGGCCAAAACGACATCTTTCTGTGATCCTTCGCCCACCTCGCTGCGCGCCCCACTCACCAACTAATAACATATACCGCCCTTCGTGGTCACACTATTTCACTTTTTTCCCGATCTCCAGGAACATCCTTGAACGAGTTCTAATAGTTCGGGGACACTACGCCCATTCGATTGCACGCCTCACCACCCATAGCTGTATACCTTTCTTCCGTTGTCGGACTTTGTCACTTTCCCGCTCTTCGACTTCGAAATCCGAATATAACTTTTGGTGCAAACTTAGCCACACGTACACGAGTCACCCACTTGAGAGCTATCTCTTTCCTTCGCCAACTTCCTCCCTTTTTTAGATCCGATTATAAGGTTAGTCACTGATGTCCACTTTGGTGATGTCCCACCAGTAGCAGCTTCCTTTTCTTCGCCATACCGTATCATCCCTTTTTCCCTGCTCTTCGGTAATTTCTTGAGTATCTCAGCGTTGCTTTCTGACACGGGTTTAACCACCAATATGTATTATCGTATCCCCCCAGGAGGCCCATCGCGCGGCAAGAAGGCGCGATCGTGGACGAGTCGCGGGGTGCTGGCGATGAACAGGAACCGTGCAAGGAACATGCTATTTAACTTACGCGTTTCCCATCAATACGGCGCGCAATCGTCGCTGAATCTATCATTTGCCGCGCGAGGGCCTCCGGGGTACCATTTGTATCAAGAATCCGAGAAGCTGAAACAGCATTTCAATGTATCATTTACAATTCTACCATTATCCACTTATAGGGCGAAAACTCGTTACGATTGAAAGCTAGATTTTTAGTTGAAAAAAGGAAGTCGCGTTTGACATCATCTCGAAAACATCATCCTCTCACTCTAAAATTATTGCCTTAGATAAAAAAAGTATACAGTCAGTTAGATATGGTTGCCACAGTTGGAAATTATTACACTTACAAGCCGCAACTGGGACAACTTCCCCGGAGCTTTCTGTGCCACACCAGGGTCTAAAAACGCACCCTTTTTGAGCCACAGCGAGTAGCAAATGATCACATCTTATTGGAATTTCTTGAGTGCAATCAACTTTGTCAAATGCCGTTTGTGCATCGTCGATCAGTCACTCTAAGTTGTCCTTCCATTTCACGGCACAGAAAGACTGGTGCGCCCGTCTCGAGATGATGTATCTACGGCTACCTTGTTGACGGACGCATTGCGGGCATTCAATGTCAAAGATTTGTCACTAGTTGAGAAAACTACGAATAAACTGATCATGATGCATTTAAAAATAGTATTCCCTCCAACAGATGCAATCGTTGGTTGGTGGGCGGGAATGTTGTAGCTCTCAGCAAGAAGGTTGGAGCATTTTTTTAGACACATGCGGAATGTGCACCTGAGCCCAGGAATTTCAAAAAAAAATATAAAAATTAAGGACAAGTTAAATTGTCCACCAATAGGAAACAATAAGCAACATGTTTTCGCAGTTTAACACGTTGACGAAGTCCGGCGGTTTTGCATTATTTGCACGAGTGACCATAGCGGTTTTGCAAGCCCGGCCGCCCTTTTGGACTTCAAAAGCACATCACTGAATCTCTATAGAATTACCCAGGGATGCGCCAAAATCACGAGACAGCACTTCGATTCCTAGGATGTAGCAAGTGCAATTCTTTGAAAACAAAAAATGCCAAGGACGTGCACTAGTCCATTCTGAATCGTTCGACACCATGCAATTTTGAATTCCTTTGGTTTGTGTTATATATCCTCAGAAACCAATCGAAGGAACCTCGACTGGCACGAAACGGCGAGTACGGCTCTTCAGCTCATTTTAGAAGCGCTTTCTTCAACGAATTCTTAGACATGAATGTGTTTTATGCAAGCCTCAGCTTCTAGAAACGATCGTACAGTCGTACCCTATCGAAGCCAATCTACGAAATCTGTCTACCACCGTTTATGCGGACAAGTCGAAAAAATCAGTTCCTGCATGAGATGCATATACTGAATCACTCTTGCCTCGTAAATCGGCAGCTACTACTGATGGAAGGCCAGCAACAATTTCAAGTAGAAAATAAACTCAGGATAAGCAATGACTCTAAAAGTCCAAAACCCCTGGATTCCTATCTCTCGTGACCAGTGAAAACCATGCACGTCAACTGCCTGCAATTCTATCGCACACAATCCTCAGATTAGTTCGGTCGCACCAGAAACGCCCCTTTCATCCATTGAATGACTGCATTAACCTCCTGTCCCCAGTACCATTTGGAGCATCAATCGAAACGGCTCGGGCATATAACACCAAAACAAATAATTGTCGCGTGTCAAAAACTCTCAAACGTCGAAGTCAATAATTAGTGACGGTGTCAAGTATCAGTCAACCGTTGCCACTACCATAGCAGATTTGGTGGTTAAAATAAGGGTGAAAAACAATTTCTACACCACAGTACAAAACTAGCGGCAGAGAAAAACCAGTCGAATATCATTTCATTTTTGCTCATGCGGTGTTCGTAATTTTGCCGCACCCTTGTATGTCGGAAAGGATAGCAGCAAAACGCGGATAACTGTCGATGAATTGGCAGACAGATTTATTTGCTTCAAGAAGTATCGCTAATGCACACGAAGTAAGCAAAACTTCACTTCAGCACTGCCGAATGAAGTAAAATCACTCATATGTAAGTTCTTTAATCAAACACCAATTATTTTTAAACTTATAAAGCTTTGTATTAACTGATCTAACAATCCTACATATGAATGTTAACACAGTGAAAGAAATACTAGGAAAGAATTCAAATTAAGTTTTGTGCATCAGGAAACCTTCGGCTAAAATAAATCATAAGGTATTTGATCACTCTGGCCAACTAGAGTTTATTGGCTTATGCTGTTATTATCTATAGAATGATACTAAAAAATGAGAAGAGTAGCTCCGGCCACAACAATGAACATGAATAGTGTCTAACGCGCATGCCGCTCAGAATGTCCAATGCGGTGCAAAAACTTCTGACGCGCATGCGCGTCAGCCTGCCGTCAACGTGTTAATGAGCAAAAAGACTTTCTGAATATATTGGTTTCCAGTAACAATCGCCCCAAAACTCTTGAGCTAAAAGAGCGACCACTAAGATATCCGTACCTAATATAAGAGAAAGGAAAAAAATTTCACCTGCCTGTCGGAAACATTTCCTTGTCGACCTCTCTCAACCGCATCGTCCATTTCACATCCAACAAACGTATCTTTGTATGTACGAGACGATGAATACATTTCGCGCACTTAGATACCTCAACAGTATCCGGGTTTAGAATGCATTACAGCTCATCATTTTAAGTGTTCCGGCGTCGCAATGTATATTATTCGTTCGACAGTCATCGTAAAAACCAAAGCATCATAAATATTATCTAAAAGCAGGTTTTACCAAAATGATCACACGTTGAAGCTAAATGCCGTACTGCATAACAAAGCAGATGAAACCCTTTAACTGGCGAAATTAAGACTTCCTTATTCTCTTAAGGCACGCTCCGCGATCAGCGGCTAGCGCTGTTCCATCCATGGGTACAATCGTGATGTCGGCCCCTTTGCGGCTTGGAAGTACGCGACAAAGCGCAAGGAGCTCGTCCAACCCGCCAACTCACACCTTCGTCCGCAAGCCACACCCTTTGCTTCGATTGCCACGTGGCGCCATTTGAGGCAGGTTCCAGCCATCTCCAAGTTTGACACTGAGCAAGTGGATTTAATTTCGTGAAACTCGTCCAATTCGCCTCAAACTTCTATCCCAAGGTGGAATGCGGCTGGAATAGGGTGGTCCCTGTACGGGGCGTGATCGGGGGTTTCGCTGCTTTCCTTTTCTTTTACAGGACCACCTAGCACCTACAGCTTCATAACTGAACGCTTTTCCCACATCCATTTTATTCCGAATCTTGCCTTAAATGAAGCGATTACGTATAAGAAATTTTCGCACATCAAGCTGAAAGCTGTAGCCACACGGAGCAAGTACTTTGGCTACCAAGGAACGAGTTGGTCCTCCTACAGCGAAAGGTGCTGTGTTGCTGAGCATGACCATGTGACGCCTCCGCACCCAGTGACGTAACGCAACTACCTCTGCTCATAATCTGGATGAGCTGTTTGCTGTTGCTTTTTCATTATTGAATGATGATTTCCTTTCTAGCGCTATATCTTCCATTTTGCCCACGTATTGCCTTATCACTCAGAACATATCTCTTGCATGATGGCGGCTATTGGGGTTAACTCGTCCAAACAACGTCACTCTTTACCGTCGCTCATCTATGGCCAAAAATGAAAGAGCAATCAAAGGGGTACTATTTTGCTAATTCTTGACGAATTTCTTCGCTTTTTTCGCCATTGGCGTACCCCCACGTACCCTCTAAACCTCTTTAAAATCTATCGCCATTGCTGCCTTTAAGCTTCCTAGTCTCATGAACGATCGTAAACTATGAACGCTTTGTGCTCATGTCTTTATAAGGGACATTGCAGTGAATGGGACACAGCTTACAACTCGGGACTGAGCCTCAGGGAGGGGAAAGGTTTGGGAGAGGATGTGAGCAACCACTGCTCTCCCTGGGGTTTATTCTCGACCCTGCTCTTAGCCTTAGTGTCGCTTTCCAGCGGTTTTTGGAGGCCCTGTTTTGAATGTCCCTCCCTCTAAGGAGATGAGCGCCAAACGATGCCTAGCTGCAAGTCCGCAGTGGGCAATGTGGACGATATCAGTCTATTGCAGTCTGTTATCGTGATTTTGATCTTCACTTATTACTTATTCAAAGTGGTCACTTATTACACTAGCAGCCATTCTACAAGCCCTATGTTGCTACAGGTACCAACGGGGGGTCGTATTTTGATGAGTTTGTAGAGGGGAGTCGTACTTGGCGCGCGTATATACCCCCCGCTCGACGGGATTTTTGGAGGAAAAAGTGGGCGGGGTTAAAGGGGGTCGTATCAAATCCACCTTGGGGGAGGGGGGTCGTAAAAAAATTTTGAAATGTAGCAACGATAGGACCGACCCTGCTTGGAGGTGGCAATGTAGAAAACAAGTTGCAATGTGAAAACTATGCGCCTGCCTAATGAATAGTCCTAGTCCCACTCCACAAGGACCTGAGCACTACCGGCGCTCAGGTGCTTGGGGAGTGGGACTAGGACTATTCCCAGCAAATAAGAGAAACGCAAGGAAGAACACATATAGCTTACATGCCCCCTCCCCCTAGGATCTCTTCCCCTCCCTAAGGCTTACGATTAGTCCTCAAGCACAGCGATTGGCTTACTCACTTGGATGTCCCCTCCCCCCCCCCCCCCTACCCAAAGACATAAGCGCCTCAGTACTTTGTTATGGGCCAGCGCTTACTTAACATACCTCCCGAATCTTCGAGACTGCTGATTTTCCTTAGCAGCACAAGACAAGTGATGAAGATCAGAATAGACGATCTGAAAGATTAAAATATGTGATCCTCACACAGACACGGCGGACTCGCAGCCGGCTGCCCATATCAGCGGTGGGGTGGGGGGAGTGCTTTCTGCCGCGTTGAAAATGGTCTGGTACACTTACCCACGTCACCGAGCCCTCAGTATCAAGTGGAATGTGCATTTGAGCGAGATCATGCCGTTGTGGGATGCAGGAGTAAAAATGCTGAGACACTTATAATGCCTGGGACTGAGTTTTATGGAAGGGAAGGGATTCTGAAAGAATGTTGGCAATTACTTTTCTCCCAAGAGTTTCTCATGGGCTCAGTCCTAGTTTGGGATTTTTTGATGAATGTCACCCCTAAGGCCACGAGCGCCGCTAACCTTATTCAAACAGCCCTCACAAATTATTCACGACTTACCGGTAGTTCATGAGTGAATAAAATGAAACATAAGTTCACTAGGTCTATTAGCGGCGTTATCAGATCTTCAGAATATATGAAAAACAATAATAGATGGAGTTATCGCTTTCAAAATCGCTATTTCCACCCGGAGGCGAGTGGAATTACATGACCTGACTTGTTTATTGTTACACGGGCGGAAGTGGTGCAGTGGCACATCCTGGGTCGTGAGTCGCCCGTGCCAACCAAACCTTCCATCCCTCCGGGGTCGGTTAATCGGTACCAGACTTGTCCGGGAGGATTAGAACACTGACTTGTACTTCGGCTGGCCCCCGCAAGTCATTGTATAGGGCACATTGCATTCAAAACGCCACTACGAATGTACAACTGGAGGTAGAATGCGTGCCGCATCCCAAAAAGGGATTGATCAACGGCATATGCTTTATCCTTTTTGAAAGCTTTATGCTTTTATCCTATCCATTTTTACTTTTACATGCACTCACGATCATGTTGATTCTGCCTTGAGGTTGAGTCGCAGCTTATCAACCATTTGCACCTAAAATTCTCACGCCGGGAGTCTTCCAAAAGAGGCCCATCGCGCGGCGAAAGGAGGAGACGCAGACGCTGCAAAGATGAGTTGCAGCGCATTCTGTAGCGGTTAGCCGTCAGGTCAAAATAGATTGTACCATACTATCGTCTCATATCGCACCAGCCGGCGCTGCGACTCGTTCTTCGCCGCGCGATGGGCCTTCGGGACGCTCATTCCACCTTCACTATGAGTAAGGATAAATTTTATAGTTTACATAATCTTCAGGATCGTCCAGAAAGGAGAGACGTAATGAGTGTCTTGTCCTCCTCATCTGACAAAACTCGCTCAAATGTCCCTCCAAATATTAGGTTTTCGAAAAAGTCCTTGTTGGTTTTGCCGATTTTTTCAAAATTTATTGTTCTCTACTAACAGTCAGCATATTACCAAACATGCCTCCACCATGGTCGACCACATCTTGCCTGTTAGCAGGTAACTTTGTAGATATCATCATTTTACACAGTGCGACTTCATGCTTTCAGTTGATCCGACAGCCAACGGGCAGTTAATTCTTTTGTGGCCGGGTCGCTGGGGTCCTGTTAAGCGCCACAGCCCAATTTACACCAGGATTAGGAGCTTGAAGACTTTCACTTGGAATCTTTTTTCAGAAATTTAACAAACAAAACATAGTGTTTGGTCGACCGGTTACGCTACTCAACAAAGTCCGTTCAAGGCAAGAGTCAAGCTCATGATTGGGCATTATTTCGCCTGAAATTGCGTGTAGAGATGGAGAGGTGGAAACGACAAGTGAAGAAAAAATGCATAAGAAACTGTCGATAAGTACCGAAACGAAACCCTTCCCTCTAGCAGTGGAGGAGGCTTGCTCGAGGAAAGCTACGTCCAAGCGAGATTCCGGATATCCGCACCGTTACATCGGTTGACACGCAATCAACCTAGCTGATTTCACCACGTTAGACCGACCACCACAGCAATCCCGCGTGGGCGGGACCAGCTTGATGAAACGAACCCATTCGCTGTAAGTGTAAAGCCAGAAGCCTTGACGGCGCAGCAGTCTCGAGTGGAGGTGGCCATCACCCCTCTGAAGCGCATTCCTGGAAATATTAGTGACGGAAAGGCTTTCTATGGTCACCTAATCCTGACTCGTGGCTTTAACGCGTTGACGACATCGCGTGTTTTGGGCTTTTGCACCTTGTGGGGACGGAGCTATCTTGCGAGCGCCGCCGCACACCGAAATCATGGAGTTTGAGCTGTAAGTACAAAATACTAAGATGCTATGAAGCGTCTTAAATAGTGTTTGATATGCCGGGAGCTGCAGTAATGGAAGTTCGACCGAAATGACGTGTAAGGCCGTGAAAAGGCAAATTTTACTTACTTTCCCTTTAGTAATTTCAAAATTAATTTGGACGGGGTTGTTTCAGTAGAAATACATATCTTCCCATACGAGTATGTAGGTTTGTATTCGCTTCTATTATTCCTTTCTATCAACATTTTTACGTTGATGAAAAGAAAACGAGGAGTGTACAGAACAGACATTTTTGTGAGATCTGGGAAACCTCTGTCAAACTAGAGAATAATTGGCCTTTCTGTTAGCCGTGTGGTCTTTAAGTATGTTAAAGGCACAACCCAGGCGGAGGTCGTGTGAACGCTTCTCTTCGGCCAGAAGTGTAGACCCCTAGAGGACAATCACAAATGTGGCGTTCTCGTACACGGAAACCAACCGACAAGAGTGCTTGGGCCTTGCAAAGTAAGCTGCCCAAGCTGCGGACTTCTTTTCCGTTATCAGGCTGTTGTCTGGCAATCTCTCATATGTAGCGTTCTCTCGCCCATGCTCTCCTTTCCGCGCTTAGTCTCT